CCCACAAATCTAAATTAGAACCACTTTACTTACGTCAAAAACACGCTTTAAGACTAGTATACTTTATTATTATTTTTTTTTTATTATTTTTTTTTTTATTTAGGTGCCCAAGAAGTCCTTACGATCTTATCACAGAGCACTGCGGATGAGCCTTTAATTGGAAGTTCACGCCTATACAACAAAAACGAACTTACTCATGCTCATGCCTACGGGAACAAATAAACGCACTAAATTTATTTCAAATAAATATTTATAAAAATATACTTTTCATGTTTAAATATAAACAAAGTCTACCAGAACATTTTACATCACACTTTTTTAAAAACAATATAAATAAATACAATACAAAAGCAACAGGCAACTTTATGATACCGTTTGAAACATAAAGTCTCTCACAATTCTCAATAAGAGACTAAAAATTACATATCGTGGCCCTTATTTATGCATCCCCCGTCACCAGAATCTGAAAGTCCTAAAATATCTCAGAAATTGATTTCTACAAAATGCAAAAATATTTCAACATATCTCCCCGTCCGTCTCCCCCCTCCTCTCCGACAAAAATTCAGTCACTGGTTGTTGAGTAAGCCTTTTTCTAACTGTCGAAATATCAATATTTTTTATTTCTTTCGACATTAAAAAATAATTTTTTGTGGAATAAAGAACAATGTTTTTGTCATTTCTTTGGAACGCCTAATTTTTCCTAAAAAAATTATTTTCTTTTTAATTCAACAAATTTCATGGTAATTTTTAGTAATAATCCTTAATAAATAAATTAATAATAATTATAATTAATTTAATTCTGCAATTGTTTTGCACACCTTAAATTGAAGGTTTCAAGAAAAATCAAATAAATTTGTTTATACCAACAAATTATACAATATACATTAAAAAGTAGAGGTGTCCCGGATAAGCAATCCAGCCGGATATCCGGGCCGGATATCAATATTATTCGATATCCGTTATCTGGCCGGATAATAAATTATCCGGTTTTTGATAAACCGGATATTTCAAGTTGAAATTTAAAGATTTAATAAACCAAGAAATGTTATATTTTTAAATATTCTAATGTTAATGGTTTCTATTCAAAATTTCTATTATTATTAATAATAATTTATTATTCAAATACTATTAAACTTAAAAGCAACAAACACATCAGTTTATCACTCATTTATAAATTTATTTCCATTATGATGAATAAATAGTAACATTTCTCCACGTTGAAGTAACAGCCTCGATCGCTTTTTCTCGAAAATATTTCCATATTCGGATAACAATCGCTCCGAAAATACAGAGGATGCTGGAGGTGCTAATAATTTAAGAGCTAATTCTATATAGAATTAGCTCTTAAATTATTAGCACCTCAGACAGCAATCTGTCAGAACTTTGTTCTGACAGATTGCTGTCTGAATAACATAGCTCTGATTGGCTCTCAAAAACACTACGAGATAAGATTAGATTTGTTTGTAGCGAGCTCTACTGATGGTGATTCTGAATAGTCGAACTCAGTCTCAGAGTTAGATACTTCTACAAAAATACTGAAAATGAGAATGAAAGAGGTTTTCAAAACTTTGAAAGTTGAGTAGGGTCTTGTAAAAAATTCTTAAAATATTGCTATATTATTTTATACAATTATTCTTTAAATGCAATTTCTTATTCAAATCTCTTTTTGGCTTACGAATACCACTTTCATTACCAAACGTGAGCTGTGAACGGAGATTTAATAAATTAAAAATTCTCAAAATTAAACTGCGTTTCTCATTAGGTAACGACTAGCGTGAGACGTTTATGTTGATGTCAACCGAGAGGGACATTTTGGATTCAATTGCAGTTAAAAACGTATTTATTTGTGCAAAGATTTAGTAGAGTTATCAAAGATATTGCTTATAAATACCAGGTATACCATTCGGTTCACACCCCATTTTTGATTTTTTTTTAAATAAGTTAAAAGGAGTGTTATTAATCATTTATCATTATAAAACTCATAATGTTATTATTATTATTATTATTATTATTATTATTATTATTATTACTATTATCATTGACAACATATTTAACATGTATATCAATACATTTCATTCATAAGTAACATGACAGACTGAATTAAATAGTCTGGAATGAACTTTTGACATGTATTTTACTTATTTATATTCAAGTTAAAAAAAAGTCATGTGGATGAATGTCATAACTTATAATAAATAAATACCCCCGCTCGAACCCATTTTCTATCCCTTTTACACACTTATAGCGCCCCCTCCTCTCTTTCCTTCTTGGCTGGATTTGCAGCCCCAGTCCGCGTCTGCAAAAAATCGAAGCTATTGAAGTAAAATCATCTTTTTTAAGTTTATTTTTTAAATGAAAAAGAGGTTTTTCTAAAAATTTTCCAAGCTGTTTTAATTTTATCGAAAAATAATTCAAGAGGAACTATACAATGCACTACAGGGAAAATATAACTATTTTCAAAAAAAATAAAAATTCTTCTGTTTTGATTGTAACGTTTTTAGTTAAACTTGATTTGACTAAAATAAAAGATTTCAGCGGCTACCATCTTTGAATCAAAAAACATTTTAGGTAAAAAGCTTTTAATTTTTTGTCTTATTTTTCGTTAAAACTGCCATGTGTGATCGAGTTTTAATAAAACGTTTCTGTAAGTTTTTCTTGTTTTTGATTTTTAAGCTTAAATTTTATAAGTTTTTTTACTTGCAAACATCATTTCTTTGCAATAGTTTGTATAAAATATTTCCTTACTTTCAGAACATTTTTTGAGATCTTTTGCATCGCGTAACTTTTAATATATTTTTTAATATTTTATTTTTTGGAAAATTAAAATCTTTTGTTGTAAAAAGTGTAAGTGATGACTAAATTAGTCCTAATAAATCCTATGAGACTAACTAATCCTGTAAATTAGAATTGTTTGTATTTCCAATCAAGTAGAGGTTGTTGTTGAATTGAAAAAAAGTAGGAAAGTAAACCGAGAGGTTGCTTTTAATCTTGTTTTTTTAAAGATGAGTTAAAAAAATTGGAAGTGATAAAAACATCGTCTAATGCTGCAGTTGATATCAATAAATTAGTAGAAAATTAGAATAAAAAAATTGGCGGTCTCTCAGGCCCACTTTGATGTAAGAACTGCAGTTCTACTACTAATTAAAAAAACATAAGATTTGAAAAAAAAAGTCTTTCTTTGGGTGTTATAAATCACAAAGTTAGCGTTAAATTAGCGTTTGGGATTAACCAAATGCTGATAATATACGTGAGATCTAAACAATAAAAAAGCATGTCACCTTTACATAAACAAAAGAAACTCAAACTTTACATAGGCTGGATATAAACCGACTGAAAATCACTTTAGTTTTTAAATTTACGCGCTAATGAAGTTATAATATAGTCTGCAAAGTAAAGATTTAAATTTTTAATATCTTTAGTTTTTGTGATGCAAATCACGCTAAAATTTCTTTAAAATTTCTTTTACAATACTACAATAATTTCTTAAACTTTTTTTTACAGTTTCTTAAATTAAAATGAATAAAGTTTTTTTTTGAGAAGTACTGTTGTTTTATTGGTTTTTTTTTGACAAGCACTGTTGTTTTATTGTTATAAAAGAATAAACAAATTTATATAGCACCTGCTTTGCTAAAAGAGGTCAGGTCTGAATTTTTTTATTAAGAACGAATGGATTGAATTAATGGATTCTTTATCAAGTAAAAAAACTTTCAATTTCAATATTTGCCATTTATTTCCAGTTTAGACTTATAAAATGGTTTTATTTTAGTTTTAGCGTCTTCCCAGGTTTCGCCATTCTTCTAGCTTATTAATACTTAAGTTATTTTGGCGACTTTTGTCTTTTAGTTCAGTCAGTTTATTTTAGCATTTTCATTTTCTATTTTTATGCTGTTTTTACTCAGTTGCTGTTTTTGTTGATTTCTTTTTGTAAACAACTATTTTCAGTTATTAAATCTAATAATTTTGCTGATAGAACTTTTTTTTAGGTTATAATAGTTTATGATAAAATTTTGACTTGACAGAGTTATTTTAGGTCATCATAATTTCTTAATATAAGGGAAAGTTGAGCTAGGAAGTTTTAATTCTCGACCCCGCACATTTAGGAGCCTTAAAATTTTCAAGAAGACCTTTTTTTTGCTCATTTTTTTTTTTAGACGCAGTGGCATATAAAAAGGCGTCTTATTATCAAAGAATAATAAATTGTTCTTTAAAATTCCAAATACGGCCATGGGTTACATGTTGTATTTTTTAAGTTTTTTTAAACTACTTGCGGGTTTTTTTTGTTTGTTTTTTCCAGAGGTTTTTAGTTGAAGTTACTTTTACTTTATGTTCTCTTAAACATCTTTTTTTGTTTTACTTTTTTTATTTTTCATCTCCATTTTTACGTAACTATAACACCATGTTGACATAAAATAAAAACTGTTGAAAACGAATAAAAAGACGTGATTTATTTTTGATAATTTTTCGGAAAATGTTTAGCATTTATAAAATGAAGGGGTTCTAAACATTTTTGAACGCCAAAATATATTTTTTTAAAATTTGAAACCTAATAAGTTATTATCTTATTTACTTAAAGCATTTTTTTTTAAAAAAAGAAAAGTTTAATATTCTTTAAACATGGTGTTACTAGGGGTGTTTTTGAGGATTTTCTGTTTTATCGCGTCAAGTGAGCGTTATATCGAACTATTTTTTATTTATAAACAAACTCCAAAAAATTGTCATAAATATGTCAAAAAAATTTCTTATCAATTAGGCCGATTGTCTGATAACTTGTTTAAAATAAGTTTATTTACTAAACTAGATTAAAATGAGCCAAAATAATGATTGAAAAAGTTAAAGTCATTTAATAAAACAAATACTACCAAAAAAGGTTGTTTTGTTTTCTTGTTGTTTTTTTTTCAATTATAATATCCATGAAAACCTGAACGTCACAGAGGACCGCAGGAAAGCATTTATCAAGAAAGTAATGCCGTTTTATATACCAATCATGTCTAAGTGGCTAGATAGTAAATCTCTAACTTTTTAGTTCTAAAGTCACTGCTTCAACTATAGTGTCACAGTTTAATACCCAAAAACATAAGATCTGCTTCTATTATAAAAGAAAAAAAAAGTCTTTCTTGTGAAAGGAATAACTCATTAATTCAACTTCAATTAAAATATAGTGAATACTGAACTCAATTACATTTTCATGCAGCTGGAATTTGTAGAGGCTGAAACACAAACACGTATTTTTAACAGAAAGATAAAGCTATCAACAAAACTGATGTAAATTGCTGGTTATATGGTTCTTTTATATACTTATTTTATTTCGTTTAAGTTTATTTTTTGATCCTTTTATTTAAGCTTATTGTTTGTTTCTTAATGTTACAACTTCTTAGTTATATAATAAAGATTTTTAACAGTGAATATACAAATAAATTAAAAAAAAAACACAAAGTGGTTTCACATAACACAGGTCAACAAAATATTTATTGCATTAATATTGATATTTTCTCTAAAATAATTTTTATGGCAAGCTACAGATTTTTTACAATAAACAATTTTTTTATTTTTCAAAAACTTAGGTAGTTTACTAAATTTTTAATGTATTTGTCTAAAGCAGATTTGAATTCGTTTACAAATGCTAGGGTATAGATTAAATGATTTAATTATTTTTTTTCAAATTTAAAAGACAAATAAGAAACAGCTCAATATATTGTTTTTATTTTTTACGGAAAAATAGTGTTTTCTTATAATATAAAATATCTTTTCTTTTTTTTTTTTTTTTTTTATATATGTTTATTTTACAACTACAAAGTATTTACAAGTAACCAATCACAGATTGGCGGTAAAGATATACAAACATAAATACCCTAAACATAAAGTTTGAAATATACAAAGTAAACAAAAATATAGTTGCATACAACTACGAGACACGATTAAAATAAACACCAATTACAACAACGTAATAACACGTATGTAAAAATAACCCGATAAATATACCTCTATATTATTCCAGTTAAAATAAAAAAATACAATAAATGAAAATAAATTAACTGATTTTTCGGAGAAGTGTTTAAATGTTTGACTATAAGTTTATTTACCACATTTCAAACTAATGTTTGTGTATAAATATGATTAAAACAAAATTTGTGTAAGATTGATAAGAAGAATTACTTGTTAGTGATTGTAGGAAGCTCGCAGAAGACTTAAGTCAGTCTTGTCATCAAGTACCTTTTTCTGGACGGGTATTACACATATAAATCAGTTGCTTACGTGGTATATATGTATGTTGTACATATATACCTTGTTAATAATATTATTATTTTTTATTATCGATTTGTATTAAAAGTTAAGCTACATTTGTTTAAATTTTTTTTATTATTATTTAAAAAAAATTCCTTATAGTTGCTTAATTTGACTATTATAAATTTTAGTTTTATTTTATAAAACTAAATTTTATAAATAGTGATTCGTTTATGGAAACAAATTTGTTTGAAAATATCTAATTTGTTTCAGTGCGGAAACAAGGACTCTGAACTGATGATATGATGGTAGTAAGGATAATCAACTATATTAAGACCTTACTCTGAGTATTATATTTAAAATTGTTTATGGTAATTTAATGTAAAAAAATAAACAAATTAATATCATTACTTTTTAATATATAATACCATTAAACTTTTTGTAAATTTATAAAAAAATTATGTAAACTTTAGATTTAAATGATATTGCAGACAATATTGCTTAATAACGAATATTTACTCCAAAAGAAACTTTTATTTGTTGCTCTTTTTTTATGAACTTTTCCTGAGTCATCTTGATTGAGGCTTTAACAGTCTGCCATCATGTGTTTTTGTCCCAGCGTCTTTGGTAACGATCTTCGATTGTCTTAAAACCTTAATGGAATTGCTCTCCACTCACATCTCCAAGATTTTCAGGAAACTGGTCAATGAATTATTATACTTTATTTGTATTTTATTATGTTTTAAATGAAGTTTTATAATCATTTTACATCCGTGATCATAAAATGCTTTAAACATTCTAACAATTAAATCTGCATATTTTTAAGCTTTTTAATTTTTAAGAAACTTTTTAAAAACACCAGAAATGCTTTCCATTATTTTCACAAGTTCCTTATTACTTATAAGTTAGCTATTTTGTGGTCAATCAAAAATTCCAGCTTTTTTTTCTCAAATGAAAAACCAGGTAATGTTTTAATTAAATACGGGAAACAAACATTATCAATTTTCAGTGCTTTAACAAATTGTTTCGTGAAACCAAGTTTAAGATGGAGTGATGGAAAAACTATTTTCCTGCTAACAATGGGTTCATTTACAATATTTTGCATGACCACTGTGAAAGTGTTGCGAATTGTTTCGACCATTCCTTTTGTATCCAATGTTGCTTTCTCGCTCGACTATCCCACTTGGATTGGTAACATGGAAATTTAATAAAAATTTTCTGCTGACCAAAGAGAAAGTTAACAATTTTTAGATCTACACAAATAATCCAGTTGTATTCTGGATATTTAATCAAGTTAAGCCCCATTTTAATGTCATGGTAAATCTCTCGCAAACAAACAGTATGACCGATTGCTAAAAATTAAATATTACCATTGTTCAAATGTACAGATTTAAGGCTTTGCTTTGAGCTATCGAAAAACAGTCTTCATTCTGTTGGATTATATGCATAAATACCTAACTGTAATAGGAGACTTTAAGTATCATTACAGAAAACAAATAAATGAACTTCTGAAAAAAATTTAGCAAATTTTTCCTCTCTTATTGTAAAGAAGGAAACTTTTGCAAAGCTGTCAAAAAAATTTTTTTCCTTTAATCGAGAGGCTATAATTTTATTCCTTGCTTAAAAAGTCCTAAATCCCGCACTAAGTCGTTCAGCTCTATCTGATAATAACACTAAGGCAATTTTAAACGATTTATATCAGATGATTCTTCCTAATCTGGTATAAATTCTTCTGTTTCTGTAACAAGCGTGCTTTGTTCATCATTTGGCAAAAATTAAAAAAAACATTGAAAAATAAATCTTTTCAGAGTATTGAATTGCAGAAGTAATGTTGGGATTAGCTATTTTTTGCCGCTTTATTTTTTCAATACCCTAGATAAAATTTCCGTTACCAGACAAAATAAAAATAGCAGTCGTCAATATGGTTTAGTAGTTCTCTCCTCACCAGGTAGACTCCAAAAAGAAAATTTTTTCTTTTTCATTTTGTCCAATCTTAAAGACTTTCTTTTCAAATATGGCACACAAGTGGTGTGGTGCCTACTTTTTATCTTGGTCACCAAGTTTTTATAAAAAGCCTACAAAAAACCTTATTTTTGAAATCTAAAAATTGGACATTGAAAATAAACTAGAGCTTGCCAACAAATACAAAGTTCAGACTTAAAATCAGCATTAAAAAAATACATAAAAATCAGTTTAAATTTCTTATGTAACAGTTTTGTTTTGTAGACCTGTATAATTAATAAATAAACTTTACAGTAACACTGTTTGCAGACCTGTATAATTTATAAATAAACTTTACAGTAACATTGTTTGTAGACCTGTATAATTTATAAATAAACTTTACAGTAACACTGTTTGTAGACCTGTATAATTAATAAATAAACTTTACAGTAACACTGTTTAGAGAACGCGGAAAATTAGCAGAAGAATACCACTTCACATTGTAATACATATAAAAATATATTCACGAAAATTTTAATAAAGTCATTTTATTATAATGGTATGAAAATGTAAAATAAAAAGTATACAAATATATTTTTAAGCATTTACACATTTATTGCTGATGCAATGTTTAAAATATATTTTATATATATTAAAAAATAAGAAATTGATTAAAGAGTTAGCAGAAGATAGGAAAAAATCACTAAGTTTTTATAGTTTAAAATACACCATTTAATAGCTTTTTAGAATAATTTAAGTTTTCAAAACCTAAATTGTATATATTAAATAATAAAAACTAATTCCCAGATATGAGGTTCACGATTTATTAGGACAAATACAAAATTGAGGTAAGTAATCAGAAACTGAATTTGTCAAATTTCCTGAAATAATTTCATTAGTTATTAAATTTGAAAAAATATTGTCAATGATTGTAGCATAGTGATTAGTAATTCTGGTTGGCAAAGTGATAAAAAGACGAATATTATAAAAAGAAAACAAGTTTACAAAATCAGACGTTGCAGTGTCTTTATTTGATTGTATCAGATCAATATTATAATCACCTAATAAGAAAACCGATTTATTTTCAGCATCTTTTTTATGAAGAAGGACAGACATGATAATTGTAAAATCGTTTTTATCTATGCTAGGGTGTTTATAAATGCAACCAACAGTAATATTAGATTTTTTAGAAAAAAATTATTTCAACAAATGTTGATTTTAAACTATAGGGTGTTTAAATCCTTAAATCATCCCTTTGTTGAATTAATTTTTTTGATAAGTTCCTCCACAATGTTCCTCCACAAGAAGATTCAGTTGGTGTGTGCTCAATGTTTTAGTTATCAATGTGGATTGGATGAATTGATAGTGTTCCTTTTTTTAATTGTGTTTCGGTTATACCAATAATGGAAAGTTCAAAACTCATTAACGATAGTAATGCGTTTAATTCCTCAAAATGTTTTTGCAAAGATGATATGTTTAGATGAAATAAAGAGACAGTGTTAACTTTGTCAACGTTTAGTGAACAGAATTTACTTATATCACAATATTTGCAAACTATGTCTATTGATGCACGGATTTCTTCATCTGAATCTAAAGCATGAGATGAAACGTATTCATTAGTTTGAGTAGAAACTTTGTTCAAATGAGAAGATGGAAAGAGATTTATTGACGGAGGTAAATCATTAGTTACAAGAATTTTGTCAGAAGAAAATAGTAATTTGAATTCGTTAACTGGTACATTTGTGAATGAAAAGACACTCTTTGTACAACTTACACAATGCCACAGTGAGCGACTTAATTGTAGTAAATTGTACTCAGTTTCAAGCCTGCTGCATTTTGAATGAGCCCAAAACAAACAAATGTCAAATTGAATTGAGCGGCAACTTAAACTTAATTTTTTTTAAAAAGCTAATAATATCAATAAGTAAGATCAGTGCCGGATCAAAGGAGGGGGGTCTATGGCCCCGGGCTCCGCAAATTTAGGGGCCCCCAAAACAAATTTAAACAAATTTAAACTGAGTAAGATTATTAGGTATAGTAGGGATAACAATAACCAAAATAAAACAGTAATAAAAATTATAAACAATAACAATGATGAA